GGGCTAGTATATATAAAGGAGGGGAATGTGAGGTGGGTAGATAGACAGTGAGTAATTGAACTGCAGTCGGAAGTATTATTGACGTTCGTTGTTACAGTGTTGTTTTAGCGCGAGTATTGAGATTAAGTGTATCGCAGAGTTATATTCGGAAAGAATAAACCAGTTTTATTAAGTAAAGAACATGTGTCGCTTAAGTTTCGTCGGAACGAAGTTACGGAAAATTAATTAACACACGGAGACGTAACAGTATTACAGAAAATATTTACAAACGTACCTAGTGTTTCAGATTAAATACTCATCGTTAATTATCCTCGGTGGGATATCGGTTGATCTATAGACTTACAAAGCAAACATCCGGGGTTAGATTCCCCGCAGTGGACACAGCAGATAGCTCAACATGGCTTTGCTCAGAAATAAACTAACAAACAATCGTCGTTAACCATGTTCTTCCTATTTGTAAAAAAACAAACATTAGAACTCAAATTCTAGTTAGTTATATCTATATATTAAAGTTTGTTTTTGATCAGAATACTGCGGAAGTCAAAAGTGGAATGAAGACAACGAAGACAAAAGCTTATGTCCCGGGGACTGTAAATCAACTGAAACTGGTTTTCAATGTGTGTGTGAAGGAAAGTACGAACTGGATCAAGAAAGCGGCCGTTGTAAAAGTAAGTTAAGGGTTAAGTTGTCATAACTTACAGATAGATATTTATAACACCTTAAAGCAGGTACCTTTGTAGTTCGTTGGACAATGAACACATTTCTTCAGAAAGAAATATGTTGTTTAGATGGAAATGTAACAGAGTGACATCTATCGGAGGCGTTATCACCTATCCCCTGACTAGTATATGATGCTTGTGTGCTTCGTATGTTGGGCCGAGCGCAGACCAGTGGTTAGTGTGGTGGGCTGAGGTTTCATGGCTCGCGCCTCGTTACTGCCATATATATATATATAATCGCGTTCCGCACCTCGTCGCTGTGGGTGTGTTATAAGAGTGACAATTAAAACCCAATATCCAATTAAAGTAGACCGTTAGTTGGCGGTAGTTGGTGTTGAATAGTTGCATCCCTATAGTTTAATACTTCAAAGTTATGGACGGCTAGCGCAGACAGATCTCGAGAAATTTTGCGCGAAATATAGAAAAAAGCCCCTCATAGATTGCTGATGGTCGATATTATAAAAAATAAAATTTAGCTGTTGAACAATAGCAATACGATATCTGTAGGAATGCAGTTCAAGCAGCGAACGTTTTAGACAAAATCTTTATTAACTAAATGAATGGTAGCAAATAGAATATGAAGCCCTATTTTTTTATATACAAGATTAAGTACTTCCGCGACCCGGCATGGCCAGGTGGTTAGGGCGCTCGACTCCCAATCTGAGGGTCGCGGGTTCGAATCCCCGTCACACCAAACATGCTCGCCCTTTCAGCCGTGGGGGCTAAATTAGGGACGGCTAGCGCAGATAGTCCTCGTGTAGCTTTGCGCGAAATTCAAAAACAAACAAACAATAAGTACTTCCTTTACAATTCCATTTAAGTGTTTAGTACGTAATTTTAGGCCCAGCTTGGCCAGGTGATTAGGGTGCTTAACACACAAGTCGCAGTTTCGAGTTCCCGTCCCACCAAACATGCTCGCCCTTTCAGCCGTGGGGGCGTTATAATGTGACGGTCAATCTTACTATTTGTTGGTAAAAGAGTAGCCCATGAGTTGGCTGCGGATGGTGATGACTAGCTGCCTTCCCTCTAGTCTTTCACTGCTAAATTAGGGACGTCTAACGCAAATAACCCTCGTGTAGCTTTGCGCGAAATTCAAACCAAATCGTAATTTTATTATAAGCTAGGCACGTTCTTCAAGACACGAGAGTACAATAGTTTTATTTTTAATACTTCTGTGGTCCAACAAAGATATATTTTTGTGTATTTTTTAAACATAAACCTAGTTGTTTTGAACGTACCTCTAATAATTATGTCTACTTATTTAATTAACGAAATTCTCAAGGTTATAAACCCCCAATCGTATTGTCTTTAGTGGTGTTTCTCAACCACCGTCCACTATCCGGCGCCGATCCCTCAGAAACACTTTGCCGAAAACAAACAAAAACCGACAGAATATTCATAAGTGAATCGTAATGGTTTTCGTTGTACTTGCATTTCAGTGGTCCACGACAGCTTAGGGAGGCAGCGAATTGGTTTATAGTATCGAAAATGTTGAGAAACGCTGATCTAAAGCTATGATTAACTAGTATGTTTATATGTGATCCGTTAGTGACATCAAACAAACTAATTTATCGGAGCTGTAAAAAGACGAGATCAATGATGAATTTTAAACTCTGTTGGATCAATGATGAATTTTAAACTCTGTTGGATCAATGATGAATTTTAAACTCTGTTGGATCAATGATGAATTTTAAACTCTGTTGGATCAATGATGAATTTTAAACTCTGTTGGATCAATGATGAATTTTAAACTCTGTTGGATCAGGTTCTTCAGACATAAGTAAATAAATTGTTTGCGCTTGAATTCGAAAATCAATATTATATTCACTGAATATATTTTTTTAAAGTAAAACCGTTGTGTGACGAAGACAACGACGGATACCGGAACTGCAGTGGAAAAAATGCTCTATGTAAAATTAACGAAGATGAAGAGTTAGGCTACGAATGTGAATGTCCTGTAGGTACAGAAGAGGTCAATGATGGAAAGTGTGTGTGTAAGTTACGCTTTTGTTCACAATGTTTATTCTTTTGTTGAGTGTAATCTTTTATCATTAATTGCTTTCAATTGGAGTCTTTTACATCGTCTGTTATTAGTTTTACTTAAAAGTAATCAGCCGTGGAGGCGTTATAATGTGACGGTCAATCCCACTATTCGTTGGTAAAAGAGTAGCCCAAGAGTTGGCGTTGGGTGGTGATGACTAGCTGCCTTCCCTCTAGTCTTACACTGCTAAATTAGGGACGACTAGCGCAGATAGCTTTCGTGTAGCTTTGAGCGAAATTCAAAACAAACAAACAAACTTAAAGGTAACTGATGATACGTGTTAGACGCGGTGGGTTTATTTTTTTAAAACACGTGTATTGTTACTTTAGGTACGAAATTGAAATAATGTCACTTATCTTGTTAATTTGTTTAATTTGATTTATTATATTGTTTTTAGTTTATATTAAGAAACATTTGAATGTAAAGTTTAATTGTAATGTAATTTTGTTTTACATGCATTAATTACGATAAAATTATTTTACGTTTATCATGGTTTCAATTAAGTTCATTGAACATTGTAAACTATTTCTTCATCTTGATAATTTTAACTTGTCCCCTGGACTTACAACGCCAAAATCCGTAATTCGATTACCCGCGGTTGACGCAACAGACAGTCAAATTTGGTTTTGTTCTAAAACAAAGATTTTAACTTATTTTTTTCTGTAAGTAACAACTTATGGTCAATTTAAATAGAAGTTAAACGGTCCTTTATGTGGTTTTATGATAATGCTAGTACGTATGTATATAAGATATTTCCATGTTATAATGCTTAGTCATATGCAACATTTCATATATTACGAAATATGTATATAAGATATTTCCATGTTATAATGCTTAGTCATATGCAACATTTCATATATTACGAAA